AGCGTACTTTTTTCAAGAAATCTGCTTATATGGTATGCCCTAAAAAGTACCTTTGTCTGTCCTGTCGGTTGCTTCGCTGTAGATAGAGCCGATGTGCCTTCATTTGTGCTTTGTCATCATAATCAATACCGAAGTCGTTTTCTTCTACATATATTTATCGATTTTTGGAGTACTTAATTGGTTTTCTGCTTCTAATGGGTGCATGTAATGGGTATACGTCCAGGAGCGCTTCTTTATGTGTCACTTGCAGGTCGTCTGGTATTATTTCTCGCCAATCCGTTGCCCAATCTAAAAACATATCGTCATTTTCTTCACAGTTCAGTTCGCTGTCGAATTGTAAATGAAGAAACTCAATAGACAATAATCTTGCAATTAGATACCTTATTTCGTACACTGACGGACATGGGTTATTTCCTAACGAAGATCGAAATTTTTCGAACAAATTTTCCTGTAAAGTACAAAGACTGCAGCGAGCACTGCTACGAACTGTGAAAAGTTAAACTATATACTGGCTTCCCGTTCCTTGTGTCGTACGCTTATATATTATTGCGCTTATTCGCTTATAAGCACAAAACTCTCTATACTTCTGCTTTATAAACGTTTGATACACTATAACATTCTAATAGATTGTTTGCCTATACAAATGGCGAGAATGAAAGAGCAAGCAATTAAATGACTGCTAATTAACAGCGCTACTATTATTAAGAACAGAAGCACCAAAAGTGTCTGGGATTTTACTAATTCTTATTTTGAAGATTCTTATGGTTTCTATGAATTTAACTCTCTCTGATTAAACGCTATAAACAATTAGTAGTATTCGTGTGTTTAGGTGTATATGTATGCAATGGGAGATAAATGTAATAAAAAATCGGTATTGCGGGATTTTATAGTCAATTTAAAATTTTCGCAAAAGTTTAGATTACATATTATATTATTATAGTATTATATATTTTTTATAAAATTTATATTTTAATATAGGTGGTCGGAAATAGAAACCTAATATATATTCTACGGAGCGCGTAAACTAAGACGAAGCTTTTCCGACGTTTTTATCGTGCATGATGAAGATTGTGCTAATTTTCTGCATGAAAATTGAATAGGTGCTTTACAAATGTCGTGTAGCAAAAAAATAATTTTCAACCCAGATTCCAAGTAATCGCTTGAAAAATTAACGAAAACAAAGGCGGACAACCCTAAAAGCGTATTAGAAACATTATTACTATTTTGCAAACTGGGAATATGCACCAATCATTAAAAACTTTATCGCCTTAACCTTACGATAAATATGCTATGTCGTAATTGGAAACAGGTATAACAAGCATTTGCAACGTGGCCTGCAGTTTTTCGCGTTCTAATCAAACTCTCTCCGGTCAAGCTCTCTCCGTTGTACGAATTCAATTATCGGCTTTTGATAGCGCTCATATTCTTTCTAATACTGTTGCTACCTCTTCGTTTGGATTAAACCCAAGTGTTGCCTCGATTGACCTGTTAGATTTTTCCTCCTCTGATCCGTGAATGGTATCATTGAAGCCTGGCAATCTTTCGATATAAAGAATGTGAGACTCTGCCAATGCTAGAACTGAAAAGGTTAATAGTACTATGATTATCAGCTATGCTGAGGTAGCAGAGATGCTAGCTCCTATCGAAAAAGATCGAATGTTTCTACTAAACACAAGAAGGCTTCTTCTTTCACCATTGATAAAATTCTTCGAAATGTTATGACTCCTTCATCGTTGTTAATGATAACTATTTAACCTATTCCCGTGGCCAATAATAGCTGTAAACTAGTCGTAGTCCCACCTAGATAGTCTCTATTTTTTTCTAGATTGTCGTCCAATATGTCTGTCGACATCATTAAGAGTTTCCTCAGATCAAAGTAAACCTTCTTAAATCTGAATAAATTTAGTGTGCTTAAGATGAATTCTGTATTATTGATTCTCTATGAAAAAACTAAAGAGGTTTTATACCTTTTTGACTTATTATCAAAACATAAGAGGGATCTAAACCTCGTACAGTTTTTTCAAAGCCTGAATTTCGAATACGAAAAGATAGCGTTAACGCAAGCATGGTTGAAACCTTGCATTCGCAATAATGAGTTTCTTTGTGGATCCTCTCAGATATACAAATTCGATAGATTGAATAGAAAGAATAGGAATGTACTTACGGCAGTACATGTCTTAATCGCATCGAATGTCGTTCCACTTAATAGCACTTCTGATGTAGATTTTTTATGCGTTTGCATAAAATTAGCTGATAGTTATTGTTATATGTATATGTTGGATGCTTGCATTAATATTGAGAAATTTTTATTTCAAAAAAGAGTTTATTATCAAAATATTTTCTATCGTTTTCTATAAAATTTTACCATCTTTCTGGCAACATGACGACGTCATGTCGAAAAAACCCATAGTGGTTTGGAAACCTTCCAAACACCGACCCATTTTCGCTCTTCTTAAATTTTGGGGAAGCGCGTGCCAGCCAAGCTCTGAACAAGTGGTAATCAGAAGGCGGTATGTCTGGTAAGTACGCTGGCTGCGGCAGAACTTCCCATTCGAGTTGCAACAGTGCATCTTTGACAAACCTTGCAACCCTTGGCAAAAAATGGCATTTTCAGCAAGTTCGTGTCACTACTTTTAAACCGTTGAAACGAAAACCAACAAATGGGATATGATTGAGCAGCGTCGCCATAATCTTCTAAAAGTGTTTGATGGGCTTCGGTACCAGATTTGTTCAAATCAAACATCAAACGTCATGAATGTCGACAATAAAATTTTAACCATTCTATGTTTAGCGTCTGCATACACTGAATATCTCAATAATATAATAGTAAATTGAAAACGGTTATTTTAGAGAAAGATCGAAAATATTGAATTTAACCGCTATATACACTTGTATTCCCCAAAATTAATGCAAGCACCTATTATATTCCCCGGCTTCTGAAATATCGTTGTATCTGCACCATCTTATGCTTCACTACTGCTTTTTAGACCTCTTAAGTGAAAGGATATTATAGTTATAGTTGTGTATTTTAATTAAGCCAATGTTTTTTGGGAACTGTGTGTTCAACGCCTTATTTCACTATGTTCGGCGGCTAATTACGACTGCTTTTTTCGAGGTATTGGTGAGTTGTGCCTCACTCAATGGACTATAGTCTACAATCTTTAAACAAGATTGTTAGACCTAGTATTTTGCATTTATTCTGAATTAACAATTCTTCGCTCTAGCTTCATCGTTACTCCTGACAGTTATCACCCAGCTCAACGTGTAGTATTTAGGGCGGGCATATTGGCCAATTCCGGAATAATAATGTGATTGAAATTACAATTCGCTGTAGGTTAAAAAGAAATTACAGCAAATAAGGAATCGGAGAAAAAAAATTAAAAAATTTTAAGCCAGCGATTCTCGAACTGACTTGTCATCCTACAGCATTGAGAAAAATAAATTCATGGTAATTATCGGAATATCTTACTACTTTCAACGAATGTGTATTAACTTTACAAGGAACCCGAAAAGTTTTAATGCATTCGGGAATGCCAAGAGAAAAACTAAGCGATATCCGTCACAAATTAACGGAGATGACTGAACGGATCCTCGAGTTGCAACTGATATGTTTGCACGATTTTTTGAACAAGCTTATTCTAAAAGTGCCGTTGCACAGGCAGACTACAATTATTTAATTAAGATGTATAATATTTTCTCTATTATAGTGTTTTCCAAATCAGAAATTTACAATGGCTTAGTGACTTTCTTAGATCCTCATTAATTGCTGTGAGAGCATTGTTCATTCTCTGATCGACATAGAGCTATAGCACTATAGAGCTATAGCACTATGATTTTGATATTAATTTCTATGGATCCGTCACAAAAACAATTGACACAGCGTGTGTCTTGGCATCTTATCCCGATTAGTTTACCATTCCATCGTTCGCGCTTTGAACATTTTAATTCCTTTGACATTACTTGTAAAAACTTTGTAGATTATTATGATTTTTTTTTTTCTGATTCTATTACCCGAATCGAAATAAAAAGACATAAATAGTTACGAATGTACAATATAAATACCTATAAGCTTGCTGCTTGTCATTATTATTTCCGAATTAGATATTATTATAAATCTAGATTACAAGATAAGTAACTTTAAGCTCACTTGTGTTTCGTTTATGAGTGCCTTTCGTTAGCCGAAGAAATAATTAAATAAGTAAGGAGCGATGGCTTTGCCATGTTTGCTTTGTTAAGGTGAATGCTAATTCTCTTAAAACTAATTTGTTTATAATATAAACATAAGTTGTGCAAGTTTCTTCTTTTGTTGAAATATGTTCGAGGAATATATTTTCTTTTATTTTTTTGTTAAAACCATTTTCCGAAGGCCCAAATATCATTTAATCTATCTAACTCACACAGAGAAACTTTTGTAAACAAATTTACTTGGTTTTGCTTTATACCAATACATATATCCTACAAAACATACACATATCTAGTACATCGATATGTTTATTTGTTCTTCACTCTGAACGCAAAGTTTACATTACATTGTAAAACGTCTTAATGAAATTTTAAACCTCCTACTTTTTGTTAAGAACAGCTTGAGTATAATTAAAAACATAAAATTGTCTATGAATTGGAGTAAATAGGAAAAAGGTGGTTGCTTTGTTGCGGAAATGTATTTTCATGTGTGTTTATTTGTTCAGTGTACATTTAGTTGCACTAGAGTACTTCAGGCAATGTCTACAAGATTTTTTAAATAGAATAAAGACGTAACATTGATTTGCTAAGCAAGTTGAGAATAGTAGCAAACAATGCTACTGTTAATCTTTTTAATAATTAACTGGGTAGTATAAATATGAGAAAACTAGTCTGAGTGTTGCTTGCGGTCCACCTTGATGCACCAAGTCATTCATACATAAAAGCACACATTTAAAAAAACATTTTAAGTATTTACATCTGCATTTGTTTTAATTGCAGATGCTGTCTAAATAATCAAAGAAAAAGAAATCGTGGGGATGTCTGAGGAACAGCAAGAGCAACAACAGCAACAACAACAACAGCAACAACAACAGCAGCAACAACAAAAACAGCAACAGCAACAGCAACAACATAAATCCCCAAGGAATGTTAATAGTAGTAGCAATGCAACCATAAGCACTTCTCGTAAATCAAATATATATGAAATGCGTAATCATGATTATGTCAGTCGTTTAGTGGCAGCCACGCCTCCGTATTTATATTCAGCGCCGATGGGACCCAACAATTTCTTCAGTGAAATGCTGCGTTCTCTTGTTGCCGCTCGCAATCAAGAGAACGTTCGAAATTTACAATTGCAGCAAACAGCCGCTTTAGTCAGACGTCCCAGAAAACGTAGTTGGTCGCAACATCGTTCTTTTTTCCGGGAAAACGATATGACTATATCTGAGAAACCAAATACGCAGTCCAAAAATGTTTCTATGGACTCCAATACAAATGAGAAACCATTGGAGTTAACAACCAATAAGCCTTATTTACAACAATTAGCGAACAAACATCGCAAAATCGAACAAGGCTCAAACAGTAAGGATCAGAATAGTTGTAAGCCATCCTTAACGTTGGCTAAAAATAATGAAAATGATCATACCATTGAACCCACCGAAGTTAGCATAGCAGCGGGTGGTGCTGTTGATACATTGGTTCAAAGTACACCTCCAGCTGCTTCCTTTCTTTCTCAAGATTTAGTTCTGCCCCCACCTCCCCCTATCTGGTATCCTTCTTTATATGCCCCATATGGCATCGATCCGCTGCACTTTTTTATTGATTTAAGAGTATCGGGTCACATTTATGACCGTAAGAAGGAAAACGGTTCGCCATTTACTAACGCTGATAATGGTTGCAATTCTGTAAGATCTGACGAAACTTCCAATACATCGTCGATCAACCATGGTAACATTTTGTCTAACAAGCACAGACATGGCTCTGCTTTTACTGTACCCACACCAAGGTCTTTCGATTCAAAAACCATTGAATGCTTACCATCTCGAGCTCAATGTTCGGACGCTATAAATCTCACTTCATCGGTCGAAGCTGAAGTAACCAACAAGTTTCAGAATTACGCTAAATATTACGATTTTGGCGAGAGCAAAGAAAACCAACCAAACATATCAAAGTGTAATGCTAATTACATGCTTCAACAGTTGCCTCGTTTATACGGTCAATTCGCAGCCCGCGATTTTTTCGCCCAGTCCCAAAATGATATTGCGGCACAAACTTGCACCGCGGCTGACAACAGCAATAGTCATGACAATGACAATAAATCTGAAGCTGATTGCGACGCTGATTCGGATTGCCGTACCTCTGTCGAGAATGGCAATGACAACGACGCAGACGTCGGATCTAACTGTAATCGTGAACGCGATATTGATGTAGAAATTGTAGATTCCATTAAATATCGAACTGACGGCGATAGTAGTCGCTGCAGCAGCCCGGATGAAGTGTCGATCACCCATATCGAGTAAAAGTGTACTTTCCAGCGCCCAAATATTTACCCACTTAGTATGTGTGTTTATGCACTTATAAGGTACCATACACTATATGTATGCAAGCCTATATGCTTTCTTTAAATGGATTTTTGTTTGTGTTAAAGGGATACAAATTCTCATAGTTAAAAAATATGGTACTTCGAATTTTGTATATGAAATTATGGAATATATGTATGCACTTATGAAAATTTAAAGAAACTCATATTGTTTTAAGAAGAAAGCCGTCTGCATTTTTTAAAATTTTTAAATTACTGTGAATAGATATATATTTTCATCCGGTGAAGACTAATCGATTTAAGCTCATAAAACACGTCCACAATGTTCTTCAAAAATAGATTGGGAGCAAAATAGCCAAACAGCAGAATAAATTGAAGTAATTTCTTTTTTTTAAACCTTTGTTATGGGTGCAAAGCTTCTAGAGCATTTAACTCAATTATAAATGCTTCCTTTTATTACTTATGTATCAGCTACAATGTATATTAACCTAAGATATATCCACCAAATGACCACACGGTCAATGACATTTTAATCAAATACACTAGTGTTATTGCTATGGGTGACTTCAATTGCAATTAATTTAATATTGCGAATTGCTCAATAACGTGTAATTTTTGCCATCGGTTAAATATGTCGGTTGTTCACAATTGCTCGCTACACCCATCAAGGTGCGGCTCTACTTCCCTTCTTCATTATTTTTTAATAGCTAATATAGAGCTACCAGCTTCTAATCTGTTCTACTTGACAGGTACCTTTCACCCCGCCTTCATTCACTTGGCTTTTAATACTTGTTTGCATAAAGGTAGACACATCTTCAGTATTTTACGATTATAATAAATTGGATACTAGGGCATTTATATTCAAAAATGCCGCATGTAACTTTAATGGCATGTATATACGATAATTCATGATATTATACCCAAAGTTAGATACGAGGCTACCAATTGTGAGTCTTCGTTTAATTGTAGCGAAATCAAATTTCATCTTTCTCTGCGTAATCTAGCTTGCAAGGCCTATTTATGTGGCAAGAATGGTAGTAATTGGAGGACGTCTTGTGTACAAAGGAATAAAGCGAAAGGTGTTATTGGAAAATGCAGGAGAAATGCGTACATGCTAACTTTCAAAGGTATCAAACAATAAACACTTATGTATATAAGATCCATGATAATTGTACTAAAATATAATCGTTAGTATTTTCAGTTTGTTTCATGTTTATGCTTTATAAACAATTTTTGTATATTATACTTTATTTTCGGAAGTAAAGTCGGTCATTTGAAGTTATGAAATGGGTTACTCGGTGACCAGAGGGTCATAGGTTGCTCGGTATTATCATAGTATAATATTTTTATTTTTTTATTATTAACTGTATTTCAGTTAATTGAATTTGTCTGCATGTCCACCCGTACTAGGTTTTAGTATTATCCACCTAATAATAATTTCACTGCCACATGTGTACAGACCTATTAATGTTTAAACCGGCTCTGAAGCGAGATTGACATGTACCGAAGTAGAAGGGTACTTGGGTACTTGCCAGATGGTTACGATGCTTTCATCTACGTATATATAAAATTTACAATTGGTAAAACGACAACCTCAAATTTTAAATCAAATGGCAAATATATGATTTTTTTATAGTTTACTTCTAATAAACGAAAAAGCCATAGACCGTAAATCTCGATCCTTTCTGGATTTCAAAACGAAATATGTGAATTATATACAATGTGGATCAATATGCCAAACACCAGAAAAGTTTTATTATTTTTTTGTTACACTACTCTAGGAAATACACATCAAAGATCTATTGAAACAAATGCAACCTTAATCAATTTTTGTCAGTAGCTATTCGTTTGCTATAAGGATTCTTAAAGTTGTGTACAATAAATAGGAGCTTAAAATATTGGCAAATACTTTTAAATCAATTTAATAGATTAAGTTTGAAACCAACAATTATGTGTTGCCAAATACTTTCTAGGAAACATGGAAAACTTCATGGCGATATTAGGTTCTCAATTGTAATGGCTATTCATTTGAAATTTTGATATATTTATGCGGTGAAAAATGAACAGACTGAGTGAGTTTTTTACATGAGATGGCTGATGTGGGAATTTTACCTTAATAGTGTGTGATTCCAGTAATTTTTCTCTTGAATTTTTCCCCCCAATGAATTCTCATCGAAACACAAGAATTTGCATTACTGTTCAGAAGCAGCAAGTAATTAATTACTGCTACTTCTTTTAAACGTAACATAGGCAAACACACCTAATTCTAACTTTATGGAAATAAAAGCATATAAATAGAAAGCAATGCGGAACTACAATTGAATTATTATCAAGAAAATTAACCCCCGGATTTGAAAGTCATTTTATTGAAATTTTTTAATTATATGATTATTCAATGAGTGGATTTATCCTATTTGTGTGTGACGGTTAAAAAGAAACGGAAATGAAAGAGATAGGGAAGCGGCCGCATGTTAGAGGGTGTGCACAATCTGTAAGTGTTATGTCTTTGCCGATTGAACACTCACTATAACTACGATCACAGACGACCCTATAACTACCAACAAAGTAATGTCTACCGCTTTCAGATTTAAACCCGCGAAAATAGTCTTGGTGGTCACGATTTTGCTGAAATTTCGATTTTGTGGTGATTAACTTTTGCACTATTTTAGTTTTTCGCGTAATTTCAAGTAAAAGCACAAAAAGCCCCAAAATGACTGCATTCACTCTTAATGTAAATATGTTATAAACTAAACATACTGCTCGTATTTACCTATTAAATGGTAACCAAACTTTATTTAAAATTATACCTTTCTCGCTGGCCAACGTTTGATAAAAACTTGTGTTAAAGCGTTTCGACAATAGCCAGCTTTTTAACAGCTAAACTGCAGTGCTAAGCGGGCATATGATTTATTTTAAAATATTTCAACTTGGGAAGCTGCATGCATTTATATATAGTGTTTTTATTTTCGTCTTGCATAGTCCTTGAATAGTATTTATGCAATCACGTACATAGTCCTTAGTAATGACAGATCGCACATTTAACAGAACGGATGGTGGAGCAGATTTGAAATTTTCTCTAAAATTATTTAGCTTCTTGAAATATACATCCGAGCTGAAGCTATCTGAAAACGCCGTGCGAGCATGACCTCGAGTGACCAAGTGGCGGGTCGACAATTGGCTAGATGTACGGTAACCTTTCTAACTTAGATGTTTGAAAAAGTATCAGAGTATTATAATATAAAGACATCTTAAGAGTTACTTTTGTTTAATGTACCGTTCGACAATAGTAGTGGCTTTCTTTCATCTTCTATGCAGAATATGATATAGTGGGGGAGGGGCAACTTGTCCACAACAGCACAGCTGGAGCCAAAATTCTTCTGCTAATAGCACTTTTTTTAGCAGATGCTCTAAGATGTTATGTACGCCTTATTATGACAACTTGTCCGCTCGGTATAGTTTAGAGATAGTACTTATGAATGAAAAAGACATATTTTTATTTAACATACAACAGTGCTACTTACACTCTCTCTTAGAAAACGTGCACGTTTTTCAATATCACACATCATATATAAGCTTGAAACAAGGGCAATACAATTCAGGCATTTGAACGAAATCAGTAATTGAGATCGAAATTAAAACATCAGGAAAAGTAATTCATGAATTAGATATGAAGAAGCTAATGATAAGATGAGTGTTGCTTTATTTTTGCGATGCAAAGATAACTCCGTTAACAATATCTTCAAACTGATAAGATAGAATGCTATTCTAATATTTGGGCTATTTTTTCGATTTTGATTCACTTGTTGCAGGACCACAAGTGTTAAGTCATTTGGTGCAACCAGTAGTGCATTTCATCATACTCATACAATGCATCTCTTAACTTGCTTAGACACTATTTTATTTTAAAAAGAAAAAAAATCATGTGCTTTAAAATTGGACGAGAAGAGGAATGAAGAAAGATTTCTAATATTCGATAGATGACGAGATATATATTTTCGTTGATAATCTTAGAGATCTCGTACATGAAAATTCGCTGACAACATTTTCCAACAATTTTAAATTTTACGAGGTTTTAGCACAAAATTCCCTCTTCTCATTTGAGCACGTTAATTACGCTCAATAATCAGTTGTATTCAGCTGCTTGGATTAAGTGAATCCAGTACTTCATATATTTTAATTCATGAAATGATACGAGATCTGTAGATATCCAAAAGATGATCAAAAGTTTATGGGGCTATCCATTATAAAAGATGAGTAAAGAAAAGTTATAAAAAATGAATAAAACAACAAGACTATGAGTAACGTTGAAATACCGGCAAAGAGTATTAAACTGATAAATAATCTAGATATCCTACATAAACTAATTAATAAGACGTAGACCTATTAATAAGGTAATGATGAGTCGATTATCCTGATGACTGGTTAAAATCACCACTCATCACAATATCAATGAAAAACAATGGCAAGGGATGTCAGGAGTATAGCATGATATCTCTAATCAATCATATTTTCAAAATATTCCTAGGAATAATTCAGCAAAGACTCTATGGTAAATGCGAACCATCGCTTCGCCGTACTGAGTTGGGTTTCACGAAGAGCATGGGCACCAGGGAATCTTTAGTTTGCAGTCAGGTTCTAATCCACAATTGTAAAGCATGATAAACTAATAGACATCCTGAAAGGTCGTAGTATTTACCAAAAAGATGTATGCTGCGTCAAAAATTTTAACTAAAGACAGCAGAGGTCCGTGGTAATGATGTCACGAAAAATTGTATTCCTATAAACAGACGGATTCGCCAAAGGTGCATTTTGCTCCCTCTTCTTCTTAACGTCTTCTCTGAGGTAATTTTTCAAAAAGCCTTTCAAGCGACATTAAGCATTAAGGGCCGGCTATGATCCAATATGCAAACGATGAACTATGGCGGCAGATAATATGCAGTGTCCGCAGACGGGGGTTGTAAATGGTCAAAGTAACAATTTTGAGTTGACCCTATATATCAGGGAAAGCAAATTTATGATCGTAAGCCTAGCGAAAACCCTATACGCAAGTACCACTCTATCAATTAATAACCAAAAGGTAGAAAGCGTTTCCAAGTTTACCTTGGATCCATATTACCCGAAGACTAGGATGGCGACGTGGAAATA